ATATGCCTATATTACTCTCACGAGGCTCTCGAATGCCTAAGTTCGTAAACTAAACGCTAGGTACAATTTAATGTACCTATAACTGGAGTAAATTACTTGAAAGTGTCGTTAATAAACCTAGTTGGTACGTACAGGGTCATATATCATAATATGCACTGCGAATATTCTGGGCTTGCATTGAATAGCAATGATTTATCGTGGATTGGTACAATTAATTCAAAAATTGATCGCGTGAGTTTTATTACGATGATAAATTTTATTTGGGAATATTGATAGTGGTGTTGCTCTAGTTTCAGTGATAATGAAGTTGTGCTTATTGATGTTTTTAAACGACTGTAAAAAAATGAGGGTCGCAGTTTAACTTGTGTGTATGTCTGTACCTTTGTGCGCAATTATCACATGGTTGGCTGAACCGATTTTGAAGCGGTTTTCAGAAAAGTGTTTGTTACACTACGTAGGAGAAGGTTCCAGTATATTAATTAACCGATTTAAAAAAGAGGGTGTTGAAATCGTTTTTTTAACGTAATTTATAAAAGAATTATATTGTCTATGAAAGTCAGATGCTATTGTTGAACTCGAGTTTTGTAGGTTTGATACTTGGATTAAGTAAGATTAGTTTTAAATAGTAATACTAAGGATAAAGTGACTTAGGGGGCGTCCATAAATTACGTGAGATGTTTAAGGGGTTAGGGGGGGAGGGGGTAGAATTAAATCTCATCTAATGTTACGTTGGAGAGAGGGGGGGGGGTCTCGACAAATATCACGTTTTTTTCTGATAGAAACAAAAAAATGTATAATACTATTTTTACCGCTTCATACTTCATTTTATTCCAGATTGTATGTACATGCTTTAGATTTAATTGTACATGCACATGGATTTTTTTCTGTTTGCAATAACAATCCAACGCGTTTACGTGAACAACCAGCATTTTGAAAAATCTCACGTGAAATTGGGGGATGCAGCAGGGTGTTGAATAAAATCTCACGAAATCTCACCAAGGGGGGACGGAGGAACAGACAATTAAAAAAAACACCACTCGTAATTTATGGATGCCCCCTTAACGTGATGTGAATGATCATTACGTGTACCATTATGAGAGTTTAAAATCTATTATATATATTTATAAAAAGAAACTGCGACACCGTTAAGATTTTAATTCACTTGATCAATCTAAAACTTTCGCGCTTCAATAAACGTAAACGAAACGAAAGGCCTACACTACATATATGTTATGTAATACAAACGTACATAGAAAAATTACAACTAATAAAACAGATAAAACCTTTTGTGTTTCGGTACAACAAAAGTTTTATACGATTTCTTATCGGAACAAGGAGGCGGAATTAAATAATGTTCTCTTATTATTTTTATGTATTTCAAAGCATTAGTTTGAGACAGTTCTTTCGTCTCGTTTGTCTTTGTAATCGTCCTGTGAGGTCATTGGTTTCTGGGACCATTAGGCTTATAAGTTATTGATATCACGGGGTATAAGGTTAAGTAAGTATTTTTGCGAGACAGACTTTTTTATTTTTTATAGCATAGGTAAGCCGGTAAACGAGCAGACGGATCACCTGATGGTAAGCAATCGGCGCCGCCCATGGATACCCAAAACATCAAGGCGTTACAAGTACGGTACCGGCCTTTTGGGAAGTGAGAATTTGAGGATTGTGGAGGATTCGGGGATTCGGGAGACTAAGGAGGGGGGTAATTGGGCCTCCGGTAACCTGACTCACACCATGAAACACAACGCAAGCGTTGCTTCACGTCGGTTTTCTGTGAGGCCGTGGTACTCCGGTCGAGCCGGCCCATTCGTGCCGAAGCATGGCTCTCCCACACTTTAAAAGATTGTATGAGTGTAGATTATACCTTTGTTTCTTTTTGGTGTGTAAGTGGTTTTAAATTTCGTTTGCATACAATTAATTATTGTACCTACCAATATGGATAATTTGCTTAAGAAAATAACATTAGACTGTCACACCCAGATTAAAACATCACTGTCACCAAATCATAGAATCAAATCCTTTAAAGTTTCTTAATCATTCAGTCTCCAATTTGAATCCCTAAAACTGTAAGGCATGACCACACTACCGGAGCGGGGCGAGAACAAGACGAAAATAACCCCACAAGCCGCATTTGCGACACGGCCACCCCATTAATTAAAATACGTTTGTTTTAGTCGTGCCGACGGAGCATCGACTTCGCTTTGCTAGTGTGGCTGCGGCCTTATTTTGGTTTCCAGTTTCTTACACCCACCTGCGAGTACGGATTACAATGGAAAAAGCATTAAATTATAGATTACAAATTATGTTTTCTTAATGTCTAGGTGTAAGTACAAGTAGTAAGATATTTTACCAAATTCAAAAAGAAGTAAAAATTGATTCTCAATTTGACCCGTATATATGTATGTTTGTGCGCGTTTCAAGATCACCTAGCCGATGGTGTGACCAAGTTACCAACTACACTGGACTCTTTGTTACGAAAGCCCTGAGAGAAGCCGAAAACAGGACAAGATGGAGGGAAATAAAACAGAGAACAATGAAAGCCTTTCAGGGGCACGACCTTCAGAAATGAAGCAAGCGATCGAGAAGAAGAAGTGCGCGTTTATCTCGCGATTGGCTGAACCGGTTTCGATGCGGTTTTCAGTATTTGTTACACTTGAGACTAAGATTTTAATACATAAATTAACCGACTTCCAAAAAGAGGGCGTTGTAGTCGGTTATTTTAAACATAGTGTATAAAAGAATTATGTACCTCGCAGTTCGATAACATTAGGATAGGAAAGTAACATTGTTAGCAAGTCTGTAAAAAATGGGCACTAAAGAGAATTCATCTACAATTTAGATTAAATTAAAAACCGCCATAAATGCCAATAACTAATATTAAAAACAAACTATAAAGGCGGCACCATAAAAAAGAACGAAACTAAAAATAAATTAAAAAGTTGCAAAGTAAAAGCCACCGACAAGGGAAACGTATAAAGCCTGCTCTGAAAATTCGCAAGTCCTTGTGTTTTCTTATTAAAGATGTCTTTAGGATCCGTGGCCCAAGCGAGGAACAAATCCCGGGAGATACGGCAGTTTATCTCCCAACAACAAAGAGGAAGTTTTTAAACGGGCCCGCTACGTATCTGTCCGTCTATGTAGCCATTCCTTATTTATAGAGATGCTCTTTTAAAATTAATAGTTTCTGTACACTTCTGTGTTTGTATTGTACTTTCGAAGTCGATTTTGTTTGTTATGATAGCTTGTGTTACTTGTGTTGTGGGATAAGTCATCTTAACATTACATAAAATCACGCCTTTTGTCCCAAAAGGGGTAGGCAGAGGTGCACATTGCCTGCCACTGTACAATGTAACACCCACTTTTCACTATTTTATGTTATGAGTCCCTTGTAATAGAGGTTGAGCCTATTGCCATATATCGGGCACAATTCCGGAATCAGACTCAATTTTTAAAAAACCCAGTAATACTCCGACCCGGGAAGCGAACCCGATACGTCTTGTCCGGCAGAACCTCTTGCTCATCATTCGCACTTGCGACCACTAGGCAAACGAGGCAGTAAGTCATCTTATCTAACTAATATTGTAAATGCGCAATTTGTGTGTTTGTTACTCTTTCACGTCAAAACGGCTGAAGGGATCGAGATGGAATTTGGATCAAGGGTAGATGGTCTAGAACAGCACATACGTCTTTGTAACCCACGATAATGCGGGCGTGGCTGCTGGCAGAAGGTAGTAGTCAATGTTTCTTAATGTTATTTTCAGGTATAGTGTTGGAGTCTGGGTACGTTTCTAAATGTATTTCTATCTCTTATCTAGTGTTTGAAGTAACATTGACCTCTTTTTCAAAGGAAACATATCGATTATTTTTTAAATTTTAAGTACAGAAATTTTTTTAAGCATTGAAATAATACTGAATGATATATGTATATGGTGGTGGGAATAAAAGTAAAGATAAAAATTTTACCTCATGGATTAATTCGCCATTCAGCCCACGTAGCGTCGAGCGTCGCTTTAAAAATCCTATAAAATATGACTCAAGAGTTTTTACTGATATTAATTATGAAAATCAAGCAGAAAAACTACCTTCAAGAGTCATATAGGTCAAATTAAAGTTTTAATAATAAAATACGATATTCTTTTTATTGCTAAGTAAATGAAAATAATTCAAAAGTTACGTAAATATTGAGATTTTACTTCGGCATCGCCCAAATGCTCAAACGACTTCTCGATTATAAAGAAAAGTTTAACTTTAAAAAAGATTTCTATTATGACATAAACTGTAGAACGTTAAAAAATTAGGATTCTGATAAACAATTAAAAAAGAAATAAGTATGTGTTAGCACGGAGTTACATCACAAGAAAGTAAATGGTACAACTTCTTTACCGTAGTAGGTGCCAATGTAGTACCTACACGATCACTACAACAGCAAGGGAAGGTACCCGAAACTCTTAAATTTTATAATATAATTACAACTTTATTGTTTTGTAAAAAAGTCGAAAACTCATTGAATCAAATTCACTGATTGGTAGCTATAACTTCATGTATGTACCTTTAGTCAGCTGTACCTTCATACATCGTGTTCGGTTTATAGCAATGCGTTCCACCCCAATTCCATGGGACTCACATAAGTGGCGAAAAGTTTGTGTACTATTTACAACCTAGTTGCGGCCTTTGGGGAAAATAAATATAACATATCATCACACCTTTCATTTCCCGATGGAATAAGCAGAGTTTGGCCAAAGTGTAGGTACCTACTTACTTTTTGAGAGCAACGGTAAGATCATCGTAACATCTTTTATGCCCCAAAGGGATGAAGATAGCCGCGTTCCACACAGCTTAGAAATTGCACTAATAATTGGAAAATATTAGCAATGTAAATAAACTAGTTATAGGTACCTATTCATTTTGTCATCTGTCGTTAGTTCTCATGTTTCTATATCACTATTAAAATACACAGTATCGCTCGAGTAACACACACCGACCAATAAAATCGATAGTGTACTCGATGATCGATCAGACTCTAATTTCGGAATTTGTCAATTTTACAATGTATAGAATGTAGCTCTATTTTATCTATAATGGACGTGTGTGCTCGCCTGTTGTTGTTTTTGGCGTTCAATCATCTTTCGGTATGTGTTTTTTTTGTTTTTTTACTTGCATGCTGCATTTTGTATGGTTAGCAGATGCAGGATATTTTTGATACTCTTTCAAATTGTTTGTGTAATACAATAATGAGTTCTTGAAAAAATGTTGTGATGTATATAAAAAATCCATGAATGTGTTTGGTAAATACTTAGGCACTTGAGTAATGACAATAGCAGAAAGTAGAAGTAATATTTTGGTACCTAAAGAGAAACCAGTCAGAGACATAATATCACATTTATTAATTATTTACTTAGAAATGCAAGCCAATGCTTCATTTGAATTTAAAATGTACAGTTTTTCTTCGTGAAAACATTTTATATTTATGTATGTTTGTCTACCAACTTCCTTTTATTTGTTTATCTGTTTATAGTAAGCTTTTCTCAATACTAATAGGCGTATTGTTTATTTGATATACAATGGCTAGTTCATAATAGGTAATGCCTATTACGCGGATTTGCGCTTGAATGGATATTATGCCATTGGAACGCAAATCTGTAATGAATGCAGAACCCATAACAATGCAAATATTGTTAGGGCGATTATAATTACTGATTCAAATCAACTGTTAAGATTTTAGTGAAAATGTTTGTTTAAACAACAGCTTCAGGTGGAAACTTTAGTTGTAGAATTGTTTTAATGTATGCAAAATGATAGCTAGGGTAAAAGTTACAATTGATATAGTTTGTGCTACTATTTTGTCTACATTACTTGGGTGGTTTATAAATAAATTATATTATTTAGTAGTAAAGGATTTTTAGTGTGGCACTAGCTACTTCCGCGCGGTTTCACTCGCTCTGCTCGGTGCCTATTAATCGCAGCGTGATATTTTATAGCCTTTAGCCTTCCTCGATAAATGGGCTATCCAACGCAGAAGTAATTTTTCAAATCGGACCAGGAATTTCGGAGATTAGCGCGTTCAAACAAACAAACAAAAAATCAAACTCTTCAGCTTTATAATATCAGTATAGATTAATCGAGTTTATTCTCCGAGCATGGTATACTTTCGTGGAGTATGAAAACTTTTTTCTACCTTTTTCTAACAGTCCATGAAACTGTCTCCTTCCTGCATTCTTTGAATTCATCTGATTCTAGGCATCTACCATGATTGGTAATGTTTTTTCTTTTGCCTGCAGATCGAAAGCGCTCTCGCCTTGACATACAAACTTAACGATGGGAACGAGATACCTGCGATTGCCCTCGGGACTAGCTTGGGGCATCTGGCTGATGTAAGTGCCACAGAAGAGTACTTAATTGTTTTTTAATGACACTGTTCCATGGTTCGATCAAGAGAAAAATGCAAGAAGGTTGCATGTACAATTGAATAAGTGTTAAATTTTGTGTTCGAACCAAGGTTGCACAATATATGTCCAAATACTCAAACACCACTCAATTTTAAGGCGCGTTGAAGTATAGTTATATCACTACACATTTTTTATAACATGACAAAGATGTCACGATATATACGTGCAATTTAAAATTGAGTAGCCAGAGCCTGGAATTATTATTCTCATCTATTATCTGAATATAATAAATGTACTCCTTTTTCCAATTTATAGATGAAACCGAGTGCATGATAGGAAGGAAATCCCACTCCTTAGAGGTATTACAGGCGTAATATTGTGTTCATATCCAAAGCAAACTCTACGCAAATTAGGTTACAGAATTCACTCGAAAATGTTGTTTGTCAATTTCATTTTGTATAGAAAACAGTGTTACAGTGTTACCGTTTAATCTTAATGCGATCTCAGGAATAGAGCACTCACAACGGGATTGGGGAAAGCTGATTAAGATGGAGTTCTATCTATCCTGTCAAAGCCTTTAGTCAAATGCAGCCGAGAACATACGGTTCGCTTCATTATGTATACCCTGACGTACGTACGGGTGTATTGAAACTTTGAAATACAAGGATTATTTACTAAACTACCGCTTGTATGTAACTTTGCTTGCGTGTGAAACTAGGTTATATTATTGGGCTGTTTATTTGTTGTAGTTGTCATTCAATCCGTTCTCCGAAAGGAAATTCTCATGATCTCAAATTCTGTACTTCTACGGTACATTTACATACGTTGAGGTACTCTGCGATAGATAAGTGGAGATAAACAAACTGCATTCGAATTGAACCAAAAAATACTGCCTGAAATCAATATTCGATGGACGAAGATGCGAGCAGAAGCTAGTTTTATATATAAACAAATATTCCAATATGTAAAATTGTAAACATATTTCGAAAATTGGCGAACATGTTACGTCGATATGTTACTAACGGACCTTATAGTGATGTTCCCTGTTCGTAGGGAACACGAGTGTTGCCGGTAAACCACTCTTTGGCTAGAGCAGTACAATGGGCGCTGGAAGCTGGGTACCGACATATCGACACTGCGTCCCTTTACCGAGTCGAGGACGAAGTCGGCCTCGGTGTTCGAAATTTCATTAACAAGGGCGAAGCCACAAGGCAAGATGTGTACATCACGACGAAGGTTTGTGCGAATATATTTCTTGGAATTCTTTTTTAAATTTAATAATGTCCATGTCATTTAAATCTAGGCTTTACGTTTTTCTACATGATAGATACAAATTTTTCTTATAAGTTTTGAACTATTTATTAAAATATTTTGGCCTGAATATGTGTGAATATAGTGATTAAATTGAGTTTGAGTGATTAATGTGAGTCCCAATATCAATTACCCTGTTCACTGTTGTATAATCATTGCTTGGAGCTAGGACAATATTTATATTGTAAAACTTACTATCAACCTACACTTGTATACTCTTTTATTTACCTAAGGTTAATACTGATTCTAAACATATTGAACATACTAAACTAAACTAAAAATAAACCCTTTTCCATATCACACGTGTAAAACTAAAGGTCAAATCAAGAATAAAGTAAAAGGATAAATACCGGTACCAGGTGAATGTAGCCTCACATTCCCTTAGCTTGGAGGTTGTCGTAGCAAACATATTCGAGCAAAGTTATTCCATATATTACTACTCTAGTATCTAGTGAAAGGAGGCTAGACGTGTATGTCACTACGAAAATGAGTTTCGTAGTACATTATTAATGGTATCTACGTGGCTTAGAATATACTCCCCGCTATAATAGACCACTTTTGTTAGTGATTTCTGACTGCATTAAGGGTTCGAATATATCTAAGTGCACTGTACGTGAACAGCCTGTACATTGTGGAGTTTGGACACGCTTTATATTTATGATCAAAGTTCTTATACAATTTTAAATTACTTTCTTGCTTTATGTGTAGCAAATGTAGTGGAAAAAATGATTGATTATAATTTTTTTCTCTTTTTAGTCCTGAAAGCTAGGTAGGTATACCTATAACCTGTAGGCTATTATTCCACGAAGCCCAAGTAGCTTCTAGTTTAGAAGCAATTATATCATTTATAGTCGAACTAAATATTTATGATGACTAATTTACATTTCGTTTTTGTTTTCCTAACCTTTGTTTTGGCCTAAAATAACTTCTAACTATAACAAAATAAACCCTCTTTGATAACAGTATTTGGACAGTACTTCAGAGCCAACAAAACTTTGGTTTTCGTAATTATGAAAATCCTGGCTGCTTAGTTATTAGGCAGGTAGTATATAATTAATTGTTTTGTTCGAAGTTGTGGAACGACGCCCACGATCGCGAGGAGGTGTTGCCAGCTCTACAGAAGTCTCTCGAAGAACTCAAGATGGAGTACATTGACCTCTACTTGATGCACTACCCTATGGGATACACGGTACGTGACTATAGTTTTCTAATTATAAATTCATTGACTATTCTACTTTTAATTTGTTTAGTATTAAGAAAATTAATGGTGTTTATGAATGAATTATAATATGTTTTTAAATGTAGCCACCAGCACTAAGAATTTCTCCTGTATCGTAGGCGCGTTTATTCACACACACTATCGATGTCTTACATATATTTATGTTTCAATTATGTTTTATAAATTGTGAATAATGTTCTTTTGACACTTATGAAACCGTAGGTAACTTTACACTTTTATAATTTGTTATTCTAACGAGTGAATAACCCCTATTTGTTACAATATCGACTTTATTGAAAGTCAAATAGTTAAATATCATAAACAATTGGCTATTGCGTAGAATTAAACATTATAGCATAAGTACCTACTCATAATTAACAGTAACTAGTGGTTATTAAGTGCGCAAAATTTGAACATAATTGACTAATTAGTGTAATGTATAAATTTAACTTTTGCCAAACGGTTCCGCGCTTGTATCTGAATAGGGAAGCAAACTGACTAACTAGTCGCCAATTAACTATTTGACGTTTGTGGTTAAAATAGCATTGTGCTGGTTATTATTGGAATGCGCAGGCAGAGGTGGGTGCCTCGTTTACATTCGGTTTACTGAACACGATAAAACACATTTTTTTTAAATATGTAATTGTCCTACTGTATCAACATACTTATTTTTTTTTTAAATAGGAGGCAAACGAGCAAACCTAGCACTTGATGGTAAGCGCTCAGCGCCGCCCATGGGCATTTATACGGTGACCAGAGGGCTAGATTTTATCTCGGTTAGAAGTTAGCAGCACCATTCACCGTGGCAATGCTGCCAGTCTTCTGGGAACCTTCCCCAGTGACAGTGATGCGGATAAATACTTAAACGTCTCAATCTGGTTTTTTAGTTCGCGTTCTTCGTTTTACGTACTTTTTAAGTTGTAGTTTATATTAAGGTGTAAGCAGCTTTTTATTCTATTTGTGTTTCATTACTTGGGTGATCAAAAGTATAATTACTTAACAAAGGATCTCGGGTTCAAGTGCCTATTTACCTGCTATTTAGACACTTGGCACCCAATAAATAAATTAACAAAAAAGTAAATCTAACAACATCTTTGCGTGAAAAATAAAACTTACTCTTGTCTGTTTACCACTTACATTTTAAACCAAGAAAAAAGCAAGAAAGGTTATCCCTAAACCACAGAAGGAAGGTGAGCAGTTCACTCCGTACACACGTACAAGGAAAACTAATTTCGTGTTTGCACAGCTTCGCAACGTAAACAATCCATTGAAACGCATTAAACTTTACAAGACTCTATTTGAGTACGCTCAAACACACGCCGCCTCTTGGGAGTATGTGAGTAACAATGACATAGTATCAAGAAGGGAGTAGGCAGAGTCTGGCAGAGGTGCATTTAAAATGTATTGTTATCATTTGTAGTTATCCTAGTCTTCGGCTGTTATATGGAGACCTGATTTCTAGTTGAAATTGAGGACAATTAATATAATTATGTATAACATGGATCGCATCTACTATTTGTATGTCAAAGAGATCATCACCCCGAGCTATTCGTTAATTTAGTGCGTTTTAGATCTCATGTTAATGAGTAGAATTTCGAAAGCCATAAAGTCAAAATCATTTATTTCAATTAGGCCAGAATAGCAATGTTGAACGTCAACAAAAAAAAAAAAATTAAACGTGAAGCTATTTGCTCATTCCAATATATAGTTTTGCTGTTTGGATTGTGCGAGAACAATGTAACACTAAAATCCAGTCAAAGTGATCAAAAAAGAAAATAACCTTAAGGACAATAATACAGTCTGGAGCTGACCAGTCCCAGTTGACGGCGCCCGTTCACGAACATGACACGTACACCAGCACCGCCCAACTCAACCATATTGTAGGGAATCGCGCGATCCACTGCACGCGCCACCGCCAATGAAACCTTTGAGTGAGTAAAATTGAGTTTTATTCTAACATCCATACCGAATATCCTAAACTCGGCTTCTCGGCAGTCACTCACTAAAAACTCGACTAACGAACCAACCTCTTTAGTTATACTACTACAAAATGATTTTAATAATAACCTGCTTGTTTTACTTGTAACATGAAATTCGTGTACAGTCTGATTTTAGACGCGTCGAGGTCTCAATGGAATGTGTTCTATATTTTACAAGCTTTAGGGTTCATATTACATCGGTAATGATGTTGTAGGAATCACAGTTTTGTGTTTATATTACTTTAATCACTGAGAGAGGAATGTAGATATAGAGGTCGGAAGGCGCTTGATGAAGGTATATGATCACATGCATGTACATATTATGTGTACAGTGGAAAATAAGTGTTACGATAATTATATGTTATTTTGAGGAGTGAAAATCATGTAATGCCTTCTCCCGCGAGACGAGAAAAAGAGAGTGTTACACTCTTATTGATTAAAAACCACCCCGTTCTTACTGCTACTCTTCGAGTTGGAGCCCTGGCAACCTGTTAAGTCTCCCGTGGCTCCATATCAGGCGCTAGTCCTACTGGGCTCCATCTGTGGAGGTCTGATGGCTCTTTAAAGCGCAGAACGCCACGCTCCACACGCACGGGTCCGGTTCTGGTCGGGGGTGTGAAGAGACAGGTGTCCTACAGATTTCATTAAACAGCTCTCATCACCACTCACCAGCATCATCTTGAGCCTGTGAGAAAATTTACATTGAACACGTGCCCATCTCCTACCTCTTAAAAGTAATGTTAAGTTAACCAAACAATAAAAATAAAAGCAAATTAACTTGATAACTTTACATAGGTAACAAAGTTCACACTTTGAATGAGAATGCAATAACAATTTTGTTACTTATCAAGCAGTAACTGCGAAACTTGCCTTAAGGGGAAAGGGTCATAAGTTATGAGCCATAATGAACTTAGGTGATGGCCTGAAACAACATTTTAGAGTTGATTATTGTATAACATTAAACCAGAACCGTGCCGTAGCTTGTGTAGTTTGTAGAGGTATATGGGAACCTGGTTGTAAAATATCTTGAAGTACTTTCGTAGCTGGTCGAATAGGCTAATTAAATCTGTAATACAATGTGGAGTTTCTCTTTGTTCCTGTAATTTTTCCAATGGTATGTTTTGTTTTGTTGTGATTGTATTCAATGAAGTGAGGATTGCAGTTGGATTTCTGAGTACAATGTTGCTGTTGAATACAGCGTGGGATTATGTTTTTTACTAAAATTGTTTATCCCACATTTAAATGTGGGAACTAATGCTTCGGCTCGACCAGAGTGGTACCACGGCCTCACAGAAAACCGACGTGAAACAACGCTTGCGTTGTGTTTCATCATGTGAGTGACGTTACTGGAGGCCCAATTACCCCCTCTCTCTAGTCTCTCTAATCCCCAAATCCCTCCCTAATTCCCCTCCCAAACCCTCAAATTCACAATTCACAAATGGCCGATAACGCACTTGTAAATCGTCTGGTGTTTCAGGTGGACACCTGAAATCGGCGGCGCAAATTGCTTGCCATCAGGTGATCAGTCTGCTCGTTTACCGACTTATAAAAAACAACATGGTTGTATCACTAGATTAATTGTTATGTATTGTCTGTTGTCTGAATAAGTAATTTATTCATTTCTTTTATTTTTTTGGAGTTCCTAATACTGAGTAGTCTGTATCAATGTTTGATGAAGAGTTTGTCGACATCACTTCTTTTCAAAGTTATAATACTAGTAAAGTGGGATTTAAAATGAAACCTCTGCTTATCCGCCTTTAAGGAATGAAAGGTTTAAGTCATGTTGTGTAACTAAATAAACAAACACGGAAATAGACAATGTATTTCTATCCAACATTTTGCTCCGTAGCTGGGACTTCGTTTACCGGAATTTCTGTTTCTGTATGGAATTAGGAAATTCCTTAATACAATACGGAATCTTTCATCTGTCTCACCCAAACAAATTTGTAGTTCTATTTTTTTTGAACGAGTAATTTAATATGTATGTTAGTTTGTCCATAGGTAGTAATACCCACTATGAACACAAAATTTTACTTGCAGATAGTGAGCTTTTTTTTGAGGGGGGAAAATCAGCCAATGATAATGAGCTGGAACAACGATTAGTAGATCTTAATTATATGGACTGTTCTATGAAGCCGCGACACGGTGTATAGACGTGGCTTGCCCATCACATATCATTTTTAAATCCACATACTTTTGTATTATTCACGTGCAATGCACTGCAAAATATTTATCACTATATGATTTCATTGCCCATTTCGTCGTTTGGTGATCGCAATACGATATTATTAGATCGATCGATGCAGCTGCCTGTGTTCCAGATATAATCTGACTCCGCCTCTGGACAGCCTTGACAGCCCAATCAATAGTCTACTTTCAAAATTGCCTCTTTCATTACGTAGTTTTAACTATCTAGGTTTATTTTCTTAGTAAAACAAGCCTAGCAATACAAACCTAATCTGGTACTTTTTACAATAAGGTTTAGATTTTGTTTCAAAACAATAAGGTTGAAAATATTTAAGCATTTGACAGTTTAGGATAGTTTAATGTGCGAGATTTCATTAACTTTTTATGTTTTAATTCATTATCTAAAATTTTAAATTACAATTACCAGTGGACCTAATAAGAATGGTGAATTTCAAAAACTATTTATTAAAATTATTGTACAATTCGTTACTACAGCTACAGTTACATTTAAATGTTTTATTAGGTCTTTAACTGTTGTAGGTACACTCGTCAATACACATAAACCTGATGGCTTAATATTTCCTATTATCTGCAACGACAAAGGTTACAAACACCTTGATGCCAAAAGTTACCGCAGCCTGAGTACACCTGGGCCTGTTTGCTAACCAGAGGCATCATGAATAGGGATCTATTTAATTGCGGAATCATTTTCTTGATTATGAGGCATTTCAATGATCTCCCATGCAACCTCCTATGCAAAATATCGCAACATTAGATCACTACTTCACACTCTGAGAAAAGTGGTAGATACTTCTCCGGTCGAGCCGTCACATTCAAATTGTTATTTATAACAGCTGTTATAAGAATACCGAATGCATTCTCTGGTTGCCCATAAAATTATCATAACATCACGTCTTTATTTTTATAAATGTAAGGTATATTACATTTTAAATCTACTTATGAGTTATGAGTCCTATAAAAGTCTATTATTGCAGTAAAATAAAGAAGAAATAAAATGGAAAAGTAATCGTGTGCGTAGAAGCTGTCTTTTTCTAGAATCCTGATTGGTTCAGGATGTTACGAGTGTATAGTTCTTCATGATGAAAGTGCATACAATAGAAACAAATAGTGGCAGCACTGTCGTTTTGTGTCTTTTCTTCTTTATGTAGCACAGTTTGGTGGTGTTATGACGATTTTTACGTTATAAAAATGGTACATATTATGTAGTTATTTAGTAAATAGGTTAAAACGTAATTTTCTTAAATCCATTTATCGTGAAAAACTTAGTTCATATATTGAATTTATATATGTTTAAAAACTACTGAGAAAAGTGATACCGGTAACGAAACATTTGACCTAAGTATACAGGGGAGGGACTAAGGAGGACTTCTGGGAACCTCTCGAAACTTTTTCTTCGTGTTTTCCTTTTAAAATGTTTTAAACTTTTTTATCTTTAGAGCGATGTTTTCTCTAGAACTTCATACTATTAAAAGTGTTTGAAAATAATGCTGTTATTCATCAACTAAACGTGCAGTTATGCAGGATTTTTTTATTCTCGATGTGAAAGTAGATTTATAAGTTTATTGCGTCTGTGTGTTTACGTATTTGTTTGTGGCATCTTTGAGGCTCTCACACGGTGAGTTCACAAACACGTTAATTATGTATAACAGACAATATATCATGATCATCTCCTCCAATAGTGGATATGGACCTATCGTGGTTGGATAGATTGCCTGGCCTTTGTAAAATGAAATACAGATTATGTCTCTTTCCCTCCTCTCTCTCGCTAGTCGTTCCCTCATGTCTAAGGATCGTGGTCAGCATCAGGATTCCATCTGAAATGGATGATCTACTTTCAGTTGCTGCCCAGCGGTTTCTGTTCAGCGCGCCTCTTACAGCCGTTCAAAACTTTGAGTAAAATATAGATTACAGAGCCATTAATAAATAATTACCTAAATATTTTTTTTTGTCTTTTACAATGTGGACACCCAATTTATGTTATTGACAAGTGCATTAATAATTGTAATTTTCCACCAATTAATATGCATCATTATGAAAAGCCAAGAACATAATTTTAAAGCTTCATTTCATGTTACTCGGTAATTCTGACGAAATTCTCGTTGCAACGGGAATTCGGGAAGTTCGTTTATGTATTACTGCTTAGCACGGAGCTTGGATTTATGCTCAGTTTACGCTATTGAGTTTTCCATCCATAATGTTGAGATATTTTGATATTTACTGGTACCTACTTCTATCTACTTCTCAGAAAATGCAGGCATAATGACATATTTTTAACTGATTACATAATATTATATTTATTTAGAAAATGTTTTAGTTCTTTGCATTTTATCAGAGAATTTATCTTTAATACATCACTCAAATGACGTACACTACTGAACTTAGACCTACTTTACTGATTACCATATGAATGGTTAGTTCAAAGTAGCTATCCGCCGTCTGTCTGTCCCTATGTATGCTTAAATCTGTAAAACTACGCAACGGATTTTGATGCGGTTTTTTTAATATATAGATTGATTCTTAAGGAAGGTTTATATGTATAATACATGCATATTGCACACGTACATATACACGAGGCGGGTTGCTAGTTAGAAATAAACAATTCCCTGAATAATAAATAAGGAATAAGCTACAAAAAGCATAATATCCAATAGCAATGCATTTTACATTAATTTCATTAAACAAAAATATAACAAACCCAATTCTCTTTCGAACCAACCTGCTCATTTGCGGTCCTTTGTTAAGATAATGATGTCTGTAAATAATTATGTCAGAAATACACGAAAAGGGACTTCGAAGCATTTTTAGCTAGTTTATTTATTCAAAAATAAATTATTTACACTTTTCAATACAATAAAATATTTGAAGAAATGATATCAAACTTTTATTCGTTATTATGACGACAGGCTGATAAATTTGACTTCAGTCTGCAGGTAATTATTTTTTTAATTTATCTATCTATTCATTTGACGTAAAAATACATAATGTGATGACGTCTCTAGTCCATAAAGTCAAGTATTAGGTAAAAGTGTAATTTTTAAAATTTCGATAATAGTAAACCTTGAATTAAACGAGTCGTCTCCTAGTATGTAATATTGTACTATGTTTTTCTTTATGGCAACAATGTACGTAATTTAATTTACTAGGAAGGCGTATCGTAGGTTACATACATACCTACGTAAGTTCAGAAACCTTGTTGGAACTTACCCCAACGTAGGTAGATACTGTATGAACAATGTTAAGCACAATCAAGTTCCATGTTGTACTTACCTCCGTTTGACCTTAACCAAAGGCCAAGAACGGGCTATAAATGTCTCAAAGTTTTCAACTAATGATTAATAAAGTTCAGCCCAATTATTGTTGAAGTTTTCCCGATAATATTTTTCATTGCTAATTGATGGGCCTAATGACAATTTCGGGTCTTAATCTGTATTATATTTATAAGTAAAGAGCAATCAGTTTTGTTGATTTCATTCCATTTTCTATTCTGTTTGTCTATTGGTTTTTATGGAACTTCAGAACCTTAATGAATTAAAGATTCAATACATTTTCGAGACATACATCTGATTGTGATAATCGCACCCATGACACAGGAGAAAATCCTAGTGTGGGGCAACGTTTTCTTAAAAAACAAAACAAAAACAAAGATTACCTAGTTAAACAAAAGAGATGCATATACGAATAGTTGATCGCTGACTGTTCACCCTGCTGGCGACCACTTGCAAGAGCAATTATTGGAACAGTACGCATTCGCTCCCGCGGGTCGCCAACTCGTTTCCAATTCTAGCTCTACTAGTTACTCGTTCATCGTTGCCGGTGAGACAAATCCCTAAAACAATTGATTTATGTGTGGAGATTTAAGTGTGAATGGACAAGTGTGGGAGAGCCATGCTTCGGCACGAATGGGCCGGCTCGACCGGAGTGATACCACGGCCTCACAGAAAACCGACGTGAAGCAACGCTTGCGTTGTGTTTCGTCGTGTGAGTGAGGTTACCGGAGGCCCAATTACCTTCCCCTTCCCCAATCTCCCCAATCCCTGAATCCCCAACGATCCTCAAACTCCTAATCCCCAAAAAGCCGGTGACGCACTTGTAACGCCTCTGGTGTTCCAGGTGTCCATGGGCGACGCTGATTGCTTACCATCAAGTGATCCGTCTGCTCGTTTACCGGGTTATGTATTCCATAAAAAAAAAAAAAAAATATTTATTTGACTGATTCTCCAATGCAAAATTAAATGTTGTTTTGCAAGTAAACTGTCGCTATCTTGATATCTGAAAGTCATTTTAAATACAATTGTAACTTCCCTTTCTCATAATGCACTACCGACTCCCTATTCGTGTTAAGCAAGCATTTAGTTCACTTTATCAATACCACAAGCATGTAACACTTCCCTGCTGTAGCCACACTGATCGTGATCACGTGGCTAGTTGAGGTGAAACTTAGTCGAGTCTATGGCTTAACTTTGACGTCAGTTCTGTTAAATTGTAAACAATAATTAAATTATCAAACTTACTTAACTTTGATGTAGCAAAGTGAGTAAGTAATACATCTACTTACTTTGGCAAGTGTAATGTAAACAAACGATGCTGTGAGATTCGGTTTCAGGGATTACAGAGATTTTAATTTAATTATAATATTTTTTAGAAAAGATAGTATAACTTTTAGTACAAACTTATGTTACTAAATCAGAAGCATATGAGGTGATAAGTATAGGAATATTTAATTTCCTTATCGATTTCGATCCTGGCGGCCAGTCTCTCTAACTAGAATAGTTCACTACGCAGATGTTATAGTGCACAATTGTGTGCGCAAACATAGGTGCACTCTCCGAACCCGATGGGATGGTAGACCGACACGAACTGAGAGAGGTCAGGCGCAGGACCAACGGCTTTACGTGCTTTCCGAGCCACGGGAGTAAAACATCGCCGAAATTCCTGACTCCGACATTTTCTGAGTAAAATGCTCATTTTTACTTTGTGGCCAGCGCGAGTATCGAACCCGCGACACGTTACATAGCAGCCAGTCAGCTACCACTGCGCCAACAGCGAAGTCTATAAATATAGGAATATTATTGAAAATAAATTGTTTTCGACTTGAATTCCGAAAGATACCCGTTCTGTTTTCAAAGTTCTTAAAACGAATTATTGCGATGTTTTTTTATATTATTATTTCTAGAAAGATGGTTCCATCAGTAACACGGATTACCTGACGACCTGGCAAGGCATGGAAGATGTCAAAATGATGAACTTGACTAGGTCTATAGGAGTATCGAACTTCAACATCACACAGATGCAAAGACTTTGGGAGAACTCGAAGATAAAACCTGCTGTACTACAGATTGAGGTAAGTATGATATCATGTTTTATACGTAAACTAGTTGAGAATCGTTATTTCACATGGAAATTTATTTACAAAAAGGGTCATTTTCCTACAAAAGGTCGATTGTCATTTTCAGACCTTGATCAATTTCACAGCCAAACATTCAGAACCGAGCAATAATTTTTGCGTGTTAGAATAAACAAAGAGACAGTAAAAGAGACGTCCCGTCTTCCTAGTGATGTGCCGTAACAGGCGTTGCACCGCTCTTTTAGAGGACCCGGTGCCTCCTTACAGGTATTGAAGGTAAAAATCCGATACTCCTTAGTCTTTTATCCTCAAAAAGCTGGGCGCCTTTTGAAGGTCTCGCTCCGTCATCAAAAAAAGACAAACTTAAAAGTGCTATTTGGATGATGCTGCTGTATTAACCCTGTAACTATTCAGCTTTTTACAACGTTCTTTGTCTGGTAATAAGTTTGACTAAAAGACATGATAGATGACGATACGAATCCAATTTAAATACTGCGTATTATCAATAGCTAATACGCTGTTTTAAACTTCGATTTGGATCGGATTGGATAGGGCTATTACCCTAAATGCTTGACTCGGCCAGTTGAAAGATTAAAGGCTCTCTATATGTATTAGTTTTTAGACAGAGGCCTGTTACAATAAAATTAAACTCTACATTTAGGTACACCTATAGATTTTCAGCCAAAGTTTTTTATAAAAGAATTTATCGCTACGTTTTCAAAGGTTAGCGTTTCGGTTTTATAAAAACGTATTCTATTTTCGAAGCATTCTTTTTTAAATGAAAATAATACAAAAAAAAGTATTTTCTATTTCAATAAACTAACGTATTTGGCTATACGGTCCATTGTTTCAAATTGTTTGTGACGCTAAATTACTTTATTAAGCCTTCACTACTGTTTATCTTCTTTTCATTATTCTGCTATTTTGTTCACAAGAAAGTACGAATACAGTTAGAATTTTTTTTTTTTTTAAGGGGGGAAAATCATCGAATGACTGCTCCCGCCTGGGTGAGGCCGGAGGGAGTGTCAGACTCTTACTGACTAAAAACCACCCCGTTCCTTCTCCTGCACGTCGAGCCGGAGCCCCGGTTACCCGTTAGGTTCTCACATCCTTTGTTTAAAATGATCAATTCTGATGTGAAAGAGAAAGAGATACATACAAACAAATATAGTACTTATAATATTAAACCAGGGATGCATGTAATAACCTCTTACTCGCCATTCATGAAAACAACGTTAGAATTTTGAAAGGCTACACCATTTTATATTGTAGGTACTTAAATATACCATCTCTGTCATTTTACAAGGAATTTGTAGAGATAGAACTATTTTTAAGCGCGTCTTAAATTTGAGTTTCGCTTGAGCATTTGGACATTAGTCTCTTCTGCATGGGAAGAGAGACAAGACAACTTATTCGTTCTTGTAAATTAACTTGTAGTTTAGAATGCCATAAAAGTACGACTCCTGAATATACGATTTTGGGATCAATACCCGGGTTGAGTAGAATATTATTGTGTTCTTTGCTCTCGAGGCTCTTAGCAGTAGAATGAAGTCGGCATATGCGCTCGTTGTATGGCAATAAGCTGGCTTCTGGATGTCGGCCAAATAATATGACTGGCGAAAAGTGGATTAGCTTTAGGCCTTACGCTCTTAAGAGAAAACCGCAATGGCTCGCAAGTGCTGTAGATCACGAAGCCTTAAATTCGATCTACGAGTAGAAAAAGTATTATTGGATATTTTTGGCCTGCTTATAATCCGTAAGAATAGCATAGAATCTAGACAAGATAATGCAGTGTCATAAATAATGCACTGCCATAAATAACGCCGTGCCATATATAATGCAGTGTCATTAATAATGCAGTGTTTTATTTTAATTTTTACCAATCACTGCATGCCATGTTCGAAAATTATGACAGTAATAGGTATTTTATATAAGTAAAAAGAGAAATAGCAGAGAGGGAACTTTATTACAATGTAATAATTAGCAACTACCTATAATTATAACGTAACCTACATACGCATGCGTAACTCTTCGTTTAATGAAAACTTTTTATTATGTGTTTAAATGCATATTATGTGGTTTTTTTACATAGGTAAACCCAACAATAACTCAAAATGAGCTCGTGGATTGGTGCCGTCAACATGGTGTAGTAGTAATGGGGTACAGTCCATTCGGCGCCGTGCTTGGCCGCAAGAAGGATGGACCTCCACCGAGAGCTGATCATCCATTGCTGCAAGGATTAGCACACAGATATAACAAGACTGTTCCACAGATACTGCTTAGATACTTGGTATGTATAGGTATACTTACACCCGAAATCTGAAAGGCTACTCAAGTTTTAGTTGTACTTAAATACTTTTCTATCTCTGACATTTTACAAAGAATTTGTAGTGACAAAACTATACAAGACTGTCTCGTTGGCTGAGTGGTCGCAAGTGTGACTATCGGGCAAGCGCTCTCGGGTTCGATTCCCGGGTCGGGCAAAGTTTTATTGGGTTTTTTCAAAAAATCCCAGTAGTGGCACGGAGTCTGGAATTGTGCCCCGTATATAGTAATAGGCTCACCCCCTGTTACTCATAACATAAATAGTGAAAAATTATATGCCACTGCATTAAGTGCCGTAATGTGCACCCCTGTCGGGGATAAAAGGCATGATGTTATGTTAAGTTATGTTATATAATATAAAACTTTACTTAAGCGCGACTTAAAATTAAGAAACGTTTGAGTATTCTGGTGTTAGAATGAATTACATTAGCCACCATTCTTACTTCTTCTGTGGGTGTTGAACTAACTAAGAAACTATACATTTACCTGAACCTTTTAAACCTTTTAATGATCTCCAATCCTCTTTGAGCCGTGAAGATTATGGCCTCTCGTATACGACATTCTATAGAATCTAGAATCTAGAATCTTCTATAGAATCTCGTATAGAAGAATAGATCATTCTATACAAAGTACTAAAAATGTATAGTTACCCATGTTTTATTTTGTAACACTTATAAATTATAAATGCTTTTGAAATTTGATAAAATGCATACTAGCTGTTGCCCGTGACTTTGTCCGAATTCCAAAATAAAAGCCTATCCTTAGTACATTAGCTACCTACCAATAAAAATTCCGTCGAAATTGGTCCAGCCAATCCAGAGATTACAGGCAGACTGACAGACAAAAATGTTACTTTGGTATTTCTATCGTTTGTATATTTATATGCATGTTGTAAAAAGCGGTTATTGTAATATAACAAATAGACTTTCCAAATTTATTTATCTGCATAAGTTATATTGCATATTATATTTGTAGGTGTTCAAGTTTAGCATCCAAATCTCGTCATATAAACTTAGATAGCTATCCACACAGCATTTGAACAGTCAGTTCCACTAGTGTCGGTTGGTTATACATACAAAATACACGTGTAGGAACTAATTTAACACTAGCACGATAATCGTATCTTCCTAAATGTCGCGTAGAATACAGTCTTATAGTCGATATTCTACTCAAGCGTTCCGCGCGCGCCTCAAAGAGCCATCAGACCACCACGGATGGGGGCCCAATAGGGCTGATGCCGATTTGGAGATTCGATTACCGGGGCTCCGGCTCGAAGTGCAGGAGTAGAAACTGGGTGGTTTTCAGTCAGTAAGAGTCTGACACTCCTAAAGTCATTCGATGATTTTCCTCCTCTAAAAAAAAATAGTAATATCCTGATTTAGCCCTTAACGATATTTTCACAATGTTTCTAATACCCACTTTTCACTAGCTATTTATTGTATGTGTTAACATGTAGGTAAATGAATGAGGATGAGCCATTGCCATAAAGTGATGAGTACAATTCCAGGCTTTGTGCCACATATTGGTTTGATTTGGAAATCGAATCTGAGACCCTTTCTCGTCCTTCGTTCTAGTGACTGGATCAACGAAGTACTCGATTTTTTATAGTACAGTATGTTAAATAGTTCTATAGCTTCAATATATGATCTTTTAAGGTGGTAAACTACCGTATCGACACTAAAACTGCATTGAAAAAAGGTGTTATGGGCCAAAACCTCTTTTCCGATGTTGTTAACTCGTCTAAAGGCAACATTAAAGATACACACTCACATCAAGGTATACTAAAGTGTCAAAATTGTTTAAAACATTTTCAACTCTATAGTAAAGTGAGAAGGTTGGAAATCTAGTCACTTGGGGTAGTTTCATGTGCTAGCTGTCGATGCCTACGTACTATAAAATTACAGCTATATTTTTTAACGATAAAACCACAACATAAACTGCCAGTCTCGGTTTATATATTTTTATTCGTTTATTAAAATATGAATTTAAAATTCGAATTAAAAACATTCTACGGTAACGTTTTTTTTATGTTCGACAAAAATATTGTGGATTTAAAAGGTGATGTTATTGGGCTATTCTTTTTTATTGATAATGTTATTTAACTATTTGGAATGATGCCGATGATAATAAAGAGAAAAATACTAGCAAATACAGTTTTATAAGTGAACAAGATCAAAAACACGATGTTTTCCAAAAATCTCCTGAAATTACTAGCCATGATATTAAAATATGATAGCAGTCTAGAATTCTAGATAAACCAGAATATTTCACATCCCCAAAAATTAAACGGTAACAGAAATCAAATTGTCATTGTAACACACTGACAAGTCTAATTCCCCTGATTCTTACCCTCTAATCGGCATACCAAATCCTTTTACCCCATTTACTGTTACCGACTATCCCTTACCTTTGACGAGGTGACAGCTCCAAATACGTGTCAACAGCACTTTCAACTTGTTTAATTTAAACCCTAAAGTTGGGTTCCCCAATTGGCTTTGACTGGAAAATCGTATATATTTATTAAAGCAATTCGTTTGTAAAGTTATATCGCTTGTGTTTACACGAAGCGCTAAGGTGCGATTAAGGATTATGCGGTAGGGTTATGATAAATTGTATTGATAAGCTGTGTGTGGTGGCTTTTGCTGTTCACGATAAAATGGTGTGATAGGTACCCGTGCTGTTTTGACATCGATTTTGTGGTAAAAGTGTGGGAGAGCCATGCTTCGACACGAATGGGCTGGCTCGACTGGAGTGATACCACGGCCTCACAAAAAACCGACGCGAAGCAACGCTTGCGCTGTGTTTCATCGTGTGAGTGAGGTTACCGGAAGCTCAATTACCCTCCTCTTCCCCAACCTCCCCAATCTCTGAATCCCCAACGATCCTCAAACTCCCAATCCCCAAAAGGCCTGTAACGCCTCTGGTGTTCTAGGTGTCCATGGGCGACGCCGATTGCTTACCATCAGGTGATCCTGAGATCGGCTTATGGCATAAAAATAAAAAAAATGAATTAATGTTCTCGTAGACCATGACGGCTGGTTTCAATTTGACCACACAGTTGCATAGGAGTTATATTATGTGGATTGCGGACTATACGCACTTGAGTTTAAATTGAGTTTAAAAAAAAACATTTGCGCAATGAATTATATGAATTATGCACATAAATCTAATTTATTCACAAACAATTTTGGTCACTACGGGAAAACGGTTACGACGGATCAATAGTTATACACTCCTGAATCAACAGCGAATATTTACAAATTCTGTAGTTACTGGTTAGAAAAAATACCATTTAAACTTTTTGCAACGATGTTGTTTTTTTTTTCTTTTTTTAACTTACAAGCGAACAAGGAAGTCAACTTTTCGTCTTCAAAATAGTGTTTCACAAAAGATTACAATGCAATAAATCATAATTTTATAGCTTGTTTGAACGGCCGCGTTTATCTAGAACAAAGTCCCCTTCCCTTGATGGTAGTTTCTGCTTTTTACGGCAATTTAGTTTCTCTCAACAGACTCAAACGTTTGAACTAAAAGAATAAATGTCTACTCTCGTCTTCAAATTACTTAAGGTTTTTCATTGTTGAACTATAACATCTTAAATGTCTTATTTATTCTGATTATTGTAAAAGAAACTGTTATTCGCAATGTGATGATTTATAGGCAAGTTATGATTGGAGAGCTTTTGCGCTTAATAAATTAGTTATATGGAGTCACATCAATATTCGCTAAAACACAATATAATGTGATGGTAAATCAATCAATCAATATATTTGTTCAGGTAATACAGTCCATATGGTTATATTAATACATAAACATAATCATATAAAATTCAAATAATATAGTAATACAATACAACAGTACAAACGACTTGGACTACTTCTGGGCACGGTTTGTAGGCAACACTTGCGTCTTCGTCTAGTATTTCAGCATGCTTCAATGTTTTGGGGTTTAGAAAAAAACTGTCATGGTTTTCTGTCAGTATTATATGTTAAACATTTATTTTAAACGATTACAGCTGGATCGCGATATTGTGGCCATACCCCGATCTACAAACAAGCAGCGCATCAGACAAAACATAGACATTCTAGATTTTAGCCTACGGCCAGAAGAGGTACAAGAGTTGTCAAATTTCAACGTCAACTACCGCCTGCGAACTCCAGTGAAATGGTACGAACATCCCTATTTTCCTTTTGAGAAAAAGAACCTTACTGAAGCTGAAATTAAGTACCTTATTGAACACAGTAAAGAAGATTGATACGTATATCAAGTAGATGACGTAAAAAACTGTTTTCATTTTATAAAAAATGAAACAAATATTGTTTTTTTTATTGCGTTCCAAAAAAAAAAATTCTGTTATAATATGAATTTACTTTTTATGGAAAAAAATAAACACTGCATTTGTTTTGTTCACACGCATTATTATTTTTTATTTTTTCAACACGAAATACAGCATTCGATATTTTAAGACTACAAATGGTTTTTTTGTTTCAAAAATGGAATAAAGGCTACTGGCTGTTTTATAAAGTCCTTAATTTAACATCCTTATAATTTATTACTTTCCCTTTTATCAGGGAAACCACTTCTGAGCGCAAAGTTCAGTAATAATCTAATTTCATTCATTTCTAATAGGAACTTTGTAAGCTTTTTGTTTTTGGTTTTTTATGTTTTTATTTAGTAAAATAACTCTCCGAATATTATTTATTGTACACTGATTGTTGAACCTTTTACTTGGGACTTACTTATTTCACTTTTATTTAAGGATATTTTTAAGTTCATTTTGGTATTCAATATGTTGTTTAGTATTATCTGTTTGTCACACTGTAAATACACAAATGGTTATGTTCTATCTACATCATAAATTTAAAAATTAAAATAGGGAAAAAATTAAATAATTTAATTTGAAAATTAAATAAATATACCAATGAAACATAGACCTATGCAACATCACAATTCAAAGCATCTATCAGAGATTTACCGATCAAAGAATTTATGAAGTGAAATTAATTCTGCGTCGTCGAATCGGTTTAGCTTCAAACTTGAAATTAACTGGTTGAGCGTTGCGGAGCGGAAAACGTTTCCAATAATTAAATAGCTACCCACCTTATCTCATCTCAAAGGAGTTGTGTTAGCCTTTTTAATCTCCTTAGTATTATGTAATTGAATTCTTTTAACCGCGAGTATAAAGGGAATACCGTCGCTTTTATCTGAAGCCCCGGCCTTTCGGATCACCTAATTGATTTGTACTCAGCTTTGTTGTTATTTATGTAATATGTATTGTTAATCCAACTAATCTGGTGCCGTAAGCAATAGTTGGTTATCCATTACAGGGTGTAATCTAATCACTTGATTAACGTTGTATCGGTTTTGAATGTTCAATTGTTCCACGTGTTGTTTGGGATGTAACAGAAATAAAACATTTGATTAGTATCGATGACAGACTTCATTTTTATTATATACCTTTAATATTAGTGGAAGAAGCCAAAGACATAAATCATACAAAAAGCTCTCAAGATATAACAAGTGATTAATGTACAGTCGAGGTCTAGGATGATACGACCCCGATTCTATTATTTGACTCTAAACAACATTAGCAAACGACTGTAGGGGAAATTACAAGAATAAAGAAACAAAAACTTGAAGTCATTACGAAGATATATATTTTTCGTTTCTCATTGTTTTTCTGTGTCAATGGTTTGTTAGTAATTTGAACCATTATAAGCTCTTGGTATTTCCCAAAGTAAGCGCTAAGCGTCGCTACGGCACGTCATTAGAAATCATTACGGTACGAAGACTGGTATCTTTAAGTGCCATTAAATGAAAATGTCCTAAAATTATGGGCACTTAGTGCAAGGAGCCATTCTGTAGAGGCTATTTCCATTCCTCTAGAGCATGTACGTTCATAGATATTTATTCAATGAAATATGTAACGGTCGAATTTCACACGGGGTATTTTATTTCAACACATGGCCGCTGATAACATCGTTTGTTGTACCCGTATTGTTGTTATCCATTACGTAATAATAATCATTGGTTTAGGTAGATATTTCAGTCCAAACAACCACGTCGGCATTATGGCAATGGACGCCGCATGAATGAGCCTTTATAATGTAATGGTCGTACAGTGTTGGCGCAGCTATCAATTCGAAGCTTTATCATTGAATGCATACTGGTTGCTTGTTTTTTGCGAGTGGCTTATTTATGAGAAAAGTTAGGGGGAGGTTTGGCCGGTCCTAACATAAATTAGGTGCGGTGACACGGACTAATTGGCGTCATTATGTGCGCGGATGCCCGGCGCAGCGCTAGCGGTGGCGGGGCGCACGTCTGCCGCGTTAGCTTCGCCTCTATTTCCAAAGATCCGCTTTTCTCCTCTATCCCAAACGCTTAATTAAACAAAGGTACATGCAGTTCTCGTCGCTCACTTACAAAGGCGTATGATTAGCTCCACATTTGAAAACTTCTCGAACAAACCGCCTTGTAACTTATGAATGTCCTCGTAATTTGGTCGTTATTTAAACGAGGAATGCTATTGACTGCTTTATGCCGATCAATTAGAAGTTTCTTGTGGGGGTAATCGGTGGTGTTGGGTTAGGATCGGTATTTTCTCCGCTATTTATATGTACGTGAGCGACGGTGAGCTGGACTAATGGCGGGCGGTGTGTATAAATGTGCGAGATCAACGCGGCCGGCGCGACGCTTAGCAAACAAGTTACGCGGTCCACGCACACTAATTACGCGTCGAATCAAATACTGTTGAAAAAACTCGCATCAATCAAAAGGGCGACGAAAACAAAATTACTTTTCAAAGTCGTTACGACGCAGACGACGGACTCCGTTGTTTTAATCACAAAAGAGATAGAGTTACTTTTATTATACTGAGGGGTTGTTTCCCGTTCGCCGTTGTCTTTACGTCAACTACTCAAAATTCAGGAAGCCTTTTGTTGTTGTGGAGGCTTCTATTCAAGATTTGCAAGACAGTGGATCCCGGTGATGTCAGTTGGAATATTAACAAGGGACGCGACGTCGGCCGGCGTCTCCTGACAATCCTTTAAGCGTCCAAACATAACGGCGTGTACGAGGACGCTCGGACGGTGTCAATACTGATCTTTTGAATACCGATACTGATAATGTCCCGGGAACACGTCAACAACTACGTTCACAATCTCTTATCGAATGTGTTGTTTTAAACACTGAACAATACAGCCCTATGAATGTTACCAATTCTTGTGCCCTACTTCAAACTCAAGACAATGTAATTTGAGATATACCTAATGTACCTAAGTATACGAACATAACTAGTTGAATTAGGTTATAATTTGAACACATTTCTAACTAATAACCTTAATCAAGTCTGCTACTAAAGTTGAGCTTCATTAAAACATTTATGAGCTACGATGTGAGTAGTTACTAGGTAGGCTTATTCCAATAAAACTTCAAAGAATGGTATGTTCTAGTCTAGCTGAAGCAAGAACCGTATAAAGTTGAGGATATTTGTATTCATATCTACAACTGACTGGGTTGTCTGGAGACTCAGTATCTTGACTACCTCATGCAACTTCATGAATTTGTAACATCCATCTTATTTGTTTTCAAAGATACTTGTAAATAAAGTTAGTTCTCTCGAGTCCAAAAGCCAGTATAGTAACATAAATCCATCCTTTTAAGTTGAATCACGTTCTACAAATGTTTGCCGATGGAACACACGACGGGGCCACATAATAGAAAGACAAACGTATTGGAACTTTGGCTTTAAAATCAATTTTATAACATTTTGATGATAAATTTTACGCAGGGTGGGGGGGATTAACGTTATTGTTGTTGGCAGAGAATGGAAAAATAATAAACTTATAATGGCAATAGAAAGTTTTGTCAATATTTTTCGAGTTATGAGTTGAGTTTGGAGGAGGAGGTCCAAAAATCAATAAGTAGTCTTATGCGAGTTAGACGATAAAAGAAGATGTACAATTTTGATGGGTCATTAATTAAGATAACTTTTAACCCATGTTATTGTAAGTAACGCTAATTTGGTGTGCATCTGTAAACAAAACACATGGACATATAACAGACTTTATTAAAACATTAACAGCTAAGTATACACAACTTAATCCGACAAACACATGACAGTTGGCTTCTTACCTTCAAGCCTTGGTTCGCTTTGTTTCGAGATTCTGACGCATCAGTGACGAGTGACGAGTGACGACATTGAGCTTGTCACTGCACACAATCCCACCAGTACCTTCCCACCAGTAGGTATTACCTCTACCATGAGTTTGAAACAATAGTATTTGTCAATACTCGATAGCGACGACGTAAACTTTTTGTATGACAAATTTTAGTTCCGGAAGAGACTGCTAGAGGCGCTGGTCAAATCTGTCATACAAAAAAATTACGTCGTGACCAGCGATTGTCGACAAATCGAGCTTTATACTCATGGTAGAGGTGCAAGTCCTTTGTCAATCTGTATGGGGATTTAGTCACGTCACTGCCAAAGTCCAGAACGATTATCTCCAGTCTGTTTGATATTGTATTTAGTTGCATCTTGTAAGATGATTTGAAATTAATAAATTAACACATGATTATGATTATTAATTATTCATTCAATTACAGCAACTACATAAGTTGCTGTAATTGCGGGGATGGATTGATTGGGGAGAGGAAGTTTGAGCATTATGCTAGACTTGATGTAAATTATTGTCGCTGCACTGATTTTGTTCAATTTTTATTTCTGTAATACAAGACCAAATAAATTGACTGCCAACGTCAAAAATCATGTCAAAATTAAAAATAAATAATAATAAGTTTCGGTACCGGTTACATATGTCGGAGGATGGTATGGGCGATGTCAAGCGAGAGCCCTCTTCGTCATATATATCGGTAGAGGTATGTTTATGCAGTAATAAAACAATTAAATCTTCGTAAATAAAGTAACGTTTACTTTCGACAGTGCACCTTTACTTGTTCGCATTTTAATTAAGTCGGCATTTCCTACGGACTACTCTGAGAAGAAACGCCGAAACAAACTCAGAGGTCTCAGTCCCTTTCAAAGTTCACAAATGGTCAAAATACATCAAAGTTTAGTCCACTTACATTGTAATAATATTCACAGTTATAATCTCAAACAATATAATGTCAATGACAATTTCACAGAGTCGGCATTTCCTACGGACTATTCTGAGAAGAAACGCCGAAACAAACTCAGAGGTCTCAGTCCCTTTCAAAGTTCACAAATGGTCAAAATACATCAAAGTTTAGTCCACTTACATTGTAATAATATTCACAGTTATAATCTCAAACAATATAATGTCAATGACAATTTCACAGCACTGATTCTGATGATTGCAAT